TGTGTGTGTGTGTGTGTGTGTGTGTAGGCTCTGAATCAGGGCGCGCATACTTCACACACTTTAGGACGGACTTTTAAAAGCGCGTGAAGTCAAAGCGGGGAGACCACACGTGTGCGCTCATCGTGAGAGAAAACAACTTTAAAAACAAAACATTGGATTCAAATGTGTAAAATGTGTAAACATAAAAAAATCAAAAACTAAACAGCTTATATTTATTTAGAAGTAGGCCTCTCACTTTTAAGCTAAATTTAGATTTATTTTGGACARTTTAATGTCTTTTAGACGCCGTTTCTTAAACCACAAAATGCATGACATCATGACTGTGACTTATCAACAAGACAAACCTGTAAGAAAGTTTTAAAGCACCTTTACTTTGTTTTCCTGCTTTTAAATTTCCCTTTTTAATTGTGACATTTTGATCATTATCCTCTATAACTGAGCAGAAACAGGAAAAATCAAACAAAGTTCAAACGAGAAGGCCTGAAGACATGTTTGTTAAGTTGATTTTAAATATGAGGAAAAAAATATTAATAGGAGTGCAACACGATTCAGTTCGCTTTGATACTTTAGTCTCACAATTTGACATTTTTTGATACAAAAAAGAGAAATGCCCATGCCCTTCTTAACTTAGAATTTATTGAAGTTAATTGTGAACATTTGTTTGACCTCAACAGTATACAGTTTTTAAATTAAATGTTGCTGAAACAGCAAGTTTCTCAGTGGATCTGTGCTCCACAATACAGCCTAGGTGGAGTAGTCAAACATAGATAAGATAAGATAAGATAAGATAAGAATAAAGATAAGATAAGATATGATAAGAAGATAAGATAAGATAAGATAAGAATGAAGATAAGATACGTTAAGAAGATAAGATAAGATAAGATACGTTAAGAAGATAAGATAAGATAAGAATAAAGATAAGATAAGATACGTTAAGAAGATAAGATAAGATAAGAATAAAGATAAGATAAGATAAGAAGATAAGATAAGATAAGATAAGAATAAAGATAAGATACGTTAAGAAGATAAGATAAGATAAGATAAGA